TGATGGTAAGATGATGTCATGGGGTAGGACTGGATAAGTCTGACTTCTTTCTACTCCATTCAAGCATGTACTAGGTATAAACAAATTGATGTTGGATTAGCATTTGTTGGATATGTATAAAATTATGTGTGTTGACATATCAAATGTCTTTACATGCTTGAAAGAATAAATCAAATCAAATCAAAAAACATAAAGCTGCGCTGAATTAAATTGAAATAAAAATACTAAACTGAAAGGGAATAAATTAAGAACAATGACGCCAAAGTAAGCTAAGCTGCAATATGCTAAAATAAAGAGGAATGAATGAAAGAACTAAACTGACTAAGCTAAAGGGAAATTAAATGACTAAAATTAAAATTAAACTAAAGTGAGGTGAAAAAAGCAATAACAGCTGAAAAACCAAGCTGAGATTAAAAACAATTTAGTAAAGAGAAATGAGAGAAATAAAATGGCATGAAGTGAAGCTACGCAATCACAGAAATAAACAAAATGAAATGAGCTAAGCTCAGCCAACATCACAAAGTGAACTAAACAAAATAACCTGATGGAAGCAACAGGGCCATAGAACTGCTGGTTAATTTAAACCTGACCGCAGTGAACTGAACTTACAGTATATAACAGATGACTCCTATGCTCCACATGTCTGTGGGGTAACTGATGGCTTCGTAATTGATCACTTCTGGAGCCACAAACTCAGGAGTCCCAAACAAAACCTTCAGAGTCCCTGCATTCGCTGGTGGATGACACAAAGACAGAAGTTCACGATAAGCTCCTACATTAACATGAAATGGGGACAACTATACTGTTTATTCATCATATCATACTCATTGATTTTCTGACACTTATATCACTTTTGTCAGGACTTTCCAGGTGTATGTAACAATAGTTCCTAGGGATAAATCAATGACCTGGACTGGATTTGTAAAGCTGCAAACAGATCTCAAAGAAATACGGGACAACCACAAACAAATGCATGACTGGAATCTCTTTTGATCTTTTCCTTTTCTCTGCTCAGGGGCCCATTGTCTCATATTCTGTCCATGCCCAGACCCAGATAAGCTACAGAAACCTGAAGGCTGGATCAACCCGTGAAAAACAAATCACTCATTTGTCATGTGAAGTTTTTGCTAAAACCTATACTTGCATATTTTGACAATAAAAATATTCTAGATATTCAAGACCTTAGTAAATTAAACCAGAAGTTTGTCAAAACCTTCTCAGACCTTTTGTTTGAGGAACAGATTCAGTGGTTGTTAAGACGTAGATGGTCCCTGACAGAATCCTTTCTTTATCTCATCTGTGTGAGACAGTGTTTCTTATTCATCAGTGTCTGTAGCTACACATCTCCCTCCTGCAGTATGCAGAGGTTACCTAGTCGTCTGGCGAGGCCAAAGTCGATGAGTTTGATCTTGCTACCGGTCTTGTTGACACACATGATGTTCTCTGGTTTGAGGTCGAGGTGAACAATGCCCTGTTTGTGGATGAAGCTGACACCGTCGATGATCTGCAGCATGTATTTGATCACCTCCCTCTCCGTCAGCTCAAAGTCCTCGTCAATGATCCTCTCAAACAGCTCGCCACCGGAGATCCTGCACACACACACAAAGACGAGCAGATTCACGGCCACGACCAAAGTCCCAGCTTATTATTAATCCTGATTCATGTGAACAGACTTTACAGCAAGTGCACAGTCAGCACAAGGAAACTCATCACCCCACCACTGCATGGCTATACTGTATGTGACAGAGATTTATCAAAGGAAAAGCTCAAACCACTGTGGGCAAATCAAGACGTCGCCTTGTGCAGCAGAGTACCGCTACCACCAGCACATGCAGTACTTATGTATACATGTAATGTACTGTATGTACCCATACTGCATGTAGTTTTCACCATTTTCTGACATTTTATAAACAAAACAATACATCAGCAGGATTTTTAACACTCATTAAGTTAGTGGTGACATTTAGAACACGAGTCTTCTGAGTGCTAATAAAAATACAACAAATATTCTGTACGACAACACCAAAAACCCAACTGTGACTTAATAGTAGTGTGGAGATCCAGGTCTTTCTTGGGCAGTACTTCAAAAACTATAATGCCTGAAGACATGAACTGGTACACGAGGCGAATGACTGTAGAAGAAGTCTCACGGTCACTGTTTCCAGACAGAGCAGGCCCTTGCTGGAAACAGGGTAGGTATATCATATATATATTAAAAGAAATAAAAATCCCTACTCGCCCCACTACTTTGGGGCGATCTTTCCTTCCTTCAAGCTTGGGTCCTCTACTAGAGGCCTGGGAGCTTGAGGGTCCTGCACAGTATCTTAGCTGTTCCTGGGACTGCACTCTTCTGGACAGAGATCTCAGATGTTGTTCCTGGGATCTGTTGCAGCCACTCTTCCAGTTTGAGGGGGTCACAGCCCCCAGTATTCCTATTACCACGGGGACCACTTGTGCCTTCACCTTCCACATCTTTTCTAGCTCTTCTTTCAGCCCTTGGTATTTCTCGAGCTTCTCGTGTTCCTTCTTCCTGATGTTGCTATGACTTGGGATTGCTACACCTATCACTACAGCCTTCTTCTTCTGTTTGTCCACCACTACTATGTCCGGTTGGTTGGCCATTACCAGTTTGTCAGTTTGTATCTTGAAGTCCCACAGGATCTTAGCTTGGTCATTCTCAACCACCTTTGGAGGTGTATCCCATTTTGACTTTGGGACTTCCAGCCTGTACTCGGCACAGATGTTTCTGTACACTATGCCAGCTACTT